TTTGCTAACCAGAAGTCTATGTTCAGAAGAGCCACACAGTAAGTCATGGAGCTGGGGTTTGAACTTGAGTCTGTCTGACTCTTAGACTTTCCCAGCTCACACATATCCTCTTTTAGAAGCTATCTCAGATTCTGAGCCAGGGACTGTGAGATTCAGAGCCACGCTAGTTTAGGATGTGATAGTGCCTGGGTTTCCTTTTCACCTTCTGTGTATCCCAGACAGGAAGCAAGAGGAGCCAGAAACCCAGAAATGCAAACAGGTATAGATCCAGAAAAGGTCACAAGGAAAGCTTTGTCTTTGTCTCTCTTGTCAGAAGACTGGAAAAGGAGCGGCCTAGCAGAACAGGAACATTTTTGACAATAAAACCATCTTTTGTGAAACACCAGGGAACTGCTTCCCTATCTCCCTCTCCAAGTTTAGGAAATGCAGAGTACATAGCCTAGACTTCTGTCTTCACCTTCTGGTAACCAGGTCCCCTTCCTTACCCTGTGCCCTACACCCCTCCCTCTCCCACCCCTACTGGGGCTTATGGAGAGCCAGGACTTCCTAGAGTACCATAGCATAACACACAAAATGCCCAGGATTAGTCTCAGCAAAGAATGCAAAGAACTAAATGGAAATATTAGAACGGAAAACTACAGTAACCAAAAAATAAAACCCACTGGCTAGAAGCGTGGCGCTGACAGAAGAATCAGAACATCAGCACCCTAATCTGTCGTTCCTGTGAACATGCCGCATGATGGGCGAATCCTGTGCCCCCGCGGCACACTGAGCCTAACACAGTGCCTGGGCCACAGTGCGCGTTTGAAATGATTCCAGGGAGACGGTGCCAACGCCTCTTCTTTTCCCTTCTCTCTTCCCACAGGCTTTGGCTGTTACTCTGTGAGCCTGTAGGGATGGGTGAAGCCCCCCAGGCCTGTGGCACTCCCCAGCGGCCGTCTTCTCACTAGCGCCCCACAGCGGCATTAGGATGCACCTCTCAGCCGTGTTCAATGCCCTCCTGGTGTCTGTCCTGGCAGCTGTCCTGTGGAAGCATGTGCGGCTGCGTGAGCACGCAGCCTCTCTGGAGGAAGAGCTGGCCCTTGGCCGACAGGCCCCGGAGCCCACCCCGATGCTGAGGATCGACTACCCGAAGGCCCTGCAGATGCTGATGGAGGGCGGCACGTACATGGTGTGCACAGGCCGCACGCACACCGACCGCATCTGCCGCTTCAGGTGGCTCTGCTACTCCAACGAGGCGGAGGAGTTCATCTTCTTCCACGGCAACTCCTCTGTCATGCTGCCCAACCTGGGCTCCCGGCGCTTCCAGCCCGCCCTGCTCGACCTGTCCACCGTGGAAGACCACAACACCCAGTACTTCAACTTCGTGGAGCTGCCGGCCGCCGCCCTGCGCTTCATGCCCAAGCCCGTGTTCGTGCCTGACGTGGCCCTTATCGCCAACCGCTTCAACCCCGACAACCTCATGCACGTCTTCCACGACGACCTGCTGCCGCTCTTCTACACCCTGCGGCAGTTCCCAGGCCTGGCGCATGAGGCTCGGCTCTTCTTCATGGAGGGCTGGGGCGAGGGCGCGCACTTTGACCTCTACAAGCTTCTCAGCCCCAAGCAGCCGCTCCTGCGGGCACAGCTGAAGGGCCTGGGCCGGCTGCTGTGCTTCTCGCACGCCTTTGTGGGCCTCTCCAAGGTCACCACCTGGTACCAGTATGGCTTCGTCCAGCCCCAGGGCCCAAAGGCCAACATCCTCATCTCTGGCAGTGAAATCCGGCAGTTTGCACGGTTCATGATGGAAAAGCTGAACGTGAGCCGTGCAGGGGCCCCCCTAGGTGAGGAGTACATTCTGGTTTTTAGCCGCACTCAGAACAGACTCATCCTGAATGAGGCAGAGCTGCTGCTGGCTCTGGCCCAGGAGTTCCAGATGAAGACTGTGACGGTGTCCCTGGAAGATCATGCCTTTGCTGATGTTGTGCGGCTGGTCAGCAACGCGTCCATGCTGGTCAGCATGCACGGGGCCCAGCTGGTCACTGCCCTCTTTCTGCCGCGAGGGGCAGCTGTGGTTGAGCTCTTCCCATATGCCGTCAATCCGGACCACTACACGCCCTATAAGACCCTGGCCATGCTGCCTGGCATGGACCTCCAGTATATAGCCTGGCGGAACACGATGCCAGAGAACACAGTCACGCACCCTGAGCGGCCCTGGGACCAGGGGGGCATCACACACCTAGACCGGGCCGAGCAGGCCCGGATCCTGCAAAGCCGTGAGGTCCCGAGACATCTCTGCTGCCGGAACCCAGAGTGGCTATTTAGAATCTACCAGGACACCAAGGTGGACATCCCTTCCCTCATCCAAACCATACGGCGTGTGGTAAAGGGCCAGCCAGGGCCACGGAAGCAGAAGTGGACAGTTGGCCTCTACCCAGGCAAGGTGCGGGAAGCACGGTGCCAGGCGTCCGTGCAGGGCGCCTCTGAGGCGCGCCTCACCGTGTCCTGGCAGATCCCATGGAACCTCAAGTACCTGAAGGTGCGGGAAGTGAAGTACGAGGTGTGGCTCCAGGAGCAGGGGGAGAACACCTACGTGCCTTACGTCCTGGCCCTGCAGAACCACACCTTCACTGAGAACATTAAGCCCTTCACTACCTACCTGGTGTGGGTCCGCTGCATTTTCAACAAGCTCCTCCAGGGGCCCTTTGCAGACGTGCTCGTGTGCAATACGTAGCGAGGGGGTGGCCAGATCTCGGGGAGGCCCCTCGGCCTGCTAGCCCCCAGGAGGCTCTGGGAATGATTCCTTCATTTATCGAGCAGACCTGCCCAGCCTGTGCCTCCTGACTCATTGCGGCTGGAGAAGGGGTTCGCAGCAGTCCTCTTTGCACTGGTGTGTGGGCCCCCCATCTTTTTCCCATTCTGACCATCCCTACCCATGGAGGAGGTCCCTAGAGAGAGGAGGAAGAGGCGAAGGAAGAGGAAAGAATCCCAAGGGGTCTCTGGCTAAGTGGTGCTGTTCCCTAGGGAGTCTGTCTTGCTGGTCCCCAGGTTTCTGGAAATTTAGAGTGATCCTGTGGTGGGGGGTGGCGGTGCCTCGGCTTCCGCCATCATGAAGTTCACCTGTTGCCCAGTGAAGGGTGTGTTTGGAACCTCCATTAAATCATGATGCACATCTTGGTCAAGTCTTTCTTGGACAGTAGGAGGGGGATAGCAGTCAGGTGCCCTGTTAGCCTACGGTCAACCAAAATGTGACCATGGGGGAGCCTCAAGGGCAGCAGAAATAGGCAGGCTGTGTGGACTTCCCAGCCAGCTGGGTAAGCACTGCGTTTCCATTTCAGAGGGCTCAAAGCACGGGCGTCGGGAGTCGGTGGGGAGGGCCTGGAGAGGACGCGCCACCTCCACAGGGGCCTTCGCAACTGAACACTCAGGCCAGAACCGCCACAGACCGCACCCGGCAGTGCGTACTGGCAGGGCTTGTCCGCAGGCGGAGGCCTCACGCCAGTCTGGGGCATCCACCTCCCACTGGGTTGACTTGCAGGGGAGAAAGGCCAGTGTCCAGGGAGAGACAGACTGGTGGAGCCAAAAGTCCAGACATCTGGCTGGCCCTTGGCTGCGCGGTCCAGGAGTGGGGATTGCAGGAAGTGACCACCTGAGCAAGCCAGGTAGTTTAGGTGGGGATGTGCATTCATCCCGAGGCCAGGCAAGGAAGGGACTGTCCACGACGTTCCCGTAGGGCCCCTCCCCCCCAGACGCTTGCTCCCCCTTCCCGACACCGGCAGAGCTCTTCCCTTGCCACGGAGCTGCCCGCACACGTCTGTGGTCTCAGTTACGGGGGCCTTGCTGACCAAGCAGAAATCAAGGTGCGCTGACAGGCAGAATATGTAAAACTGGGCCTGTCTCCAAACATCTGGAACGTGTGGCCATCTCAACACACAGCCCGTAATTCCTTCCAGATCCTGTGCTCTCTGGAAAATCTGCTCAGTAAGACGCCCTGAATGAATGAACATGTAAGAAGGAAGGGACCGCTCTGTAGCGGTTGGAGCTGAGGCTGTGGAAGCCAAAGGCCTTGGGCTTAAGTCCCAGCTCCACCCATGTCCTGCTCTGAGATCTGGGCAAGGAACTCAGCCTCTCTGAGCCTTGGTTTCCGTAAATGTCGACTGGGAGTAATAATGCCTACTTATGGAGTTGTTCAAAGGTTTGCCACGAGGAACATAAGGCCCGGTTGTGGGGGACTCTGCTGTCTCCATCTACACTGCCTCCGGCGAGCCACTTCCCCCCCAGCTGGGGTCCTTGGTCTGTACAGTGAGGATCACACAGCTGCGCTTGTAAGGCATTCGCAGATCATCTGTGTAAAACCCTTGGCACCGTGACTGGTTGTAATAAACTAGTAATTGCCGATCTGGAATCCCAGATCCAAGCCTTGAGGCCAGATGTGACTCAGAACTCTGAATTTTTCAGATATAGAAAGCTAATGGGGCATATACTGTGAGTTATGCAATACTCAGAGCTGAGGTTACTCCCAGTTCGCAAACACATTGCTTCTCCTGTCGTGAAATATAGGAATGCTCTTGCCTATAGGACATGAGCTTTGGCACTGAACATACAAAAAAGCTTTTGCTTTTCAGAACTTTGGAGAGTGTGAGCATCGCCTCTAGAGAGTTGTGAAGCTGTGTTACTCTCATCAGCCTTCCCTCTTGGAATAGCCCTTTTACAGTGGGGGGCAAGGGTGGGTCAAGGAGCTGGTGAGTGTGACGTCCTCAGCAGGCTCCCCTTTCTGGAGGCCGACTGGCTTGAGCCCCTCACTCTACAGACCGGTCCCAGACTCTGTGTTCACAGCTTCTTGCCCCGATCTACCACCCTGCTGCCTCGCTTGGCACGCTGCTCTCATTCCAGAGGAAGCGAGTGGGAGAGACATAGGCCAGCAGCGTGTGCTCGGAGTGTGCCTTAGAACAATAAAAAAATGGATGCAGTTTCAGGTTTGCAGGAAAGACACGGTTTACTTTTTTATTTTATTTATGTTTTTTATTTGAAAGACACAGTTTATACACTGGACTTTAACAAGCACAGAGCAATGGGTAGGGAGCCAAATGGATGTGAGTGTGTTTGGCAGAGAATGGCAGTTGGCACTTCCACATTCCTGGGAACCAGCCCTGTGTTCCCGACTCTGGGTCCAGCAGGGAGAGTGGTAGGAGCCTCCGTCTGGTGGTCTTGACTCAAGACTTGGCTAGCACAGTCTTGCCTGGGTTTGAATTCTGGTCCTGCTGATAAGCTGGGTGACCTTGGGAAAGTCACTTAGCCCCTCTGGGCCTCTTCTTTAAAATGGAGATAATAGTCGTGCCTGCCCTTTGGGGTGTGGTGAGATTAAATGTTCTCATCCTTGTAAACCACCATGGCAGCGCCCTGCCCAGTCAGTGTTGGTGCTAGCAGGGGCTAGCGTTCGTCAGGGGCGAACCAGTGAGTTGCTGAGTTAAGTGTGCTCTCTTGCTAACGCTATTCCTAGAGGGGTTATGAAAATCAGAATAAAAATGTCAAGGTTGCAGATGTATAAAAAGGCTGTTTTGAGACAGAAGGTAGGGATACCAGTTGGAGAACATCACATGGAGAGGCCATACCCTTAGCTGAGCTGGGACCTGAGGCTCCATCCTGGACTTCTGCAGACCTGGACAGAGTGGGCCAGGAGTCACCCCCAGCCCCAGAGGGAAGAAGAGGCCAGTGCCAAGGGCCACAGTATCTGTCCACGTGTCCCATAAGGACAAGTTTGGGTCCTTATGCATTCTCTCTCACCCCCATCTCTCAAACACACATACTCCAGGCCCACTGGGCCTCCTTTCACAGGTAGTTCCCAGGCCTATTTCAGTGTAAAGGATGCCAGCTGGGGGCAGTGCTGCTTGCTTCCCTGTGGTGCTGCCAGCTGCCTTCAACTCCAGTACCCTGGAACTTTGCTTAAGTTTCATGGGCACATGGTGTGGAACAAAGACTGCCCAAGTGAGATGATCCCACATCGAAGCTGTGATTCAGAGCTTGCTGCAGCAAGAGAATCCACACCATCACCTGCCTCCAGTGAGACTCGGGCAGGCATAGGAGGCAGGTGAGCCCTGACTGTGGGCATGAGGGAGGCAGGGGTTAGCAGGAAGGGGCGCCTTAGGGAGCTGCCTAGGGGAGCAGGTTTGGCTTCTCTGGTTGGTCCTAGTAGAAAATGGAAACAAGAAATAGTGAAACTGGCAGTTATCAACCAAATCCTGACCATCCTGGGCTGACAGCTGCAGACACTGGGGGCTGGGCTGGAGGGTGCCGAGTTGTCGACTGTTGTAGATGCTCTGGCCATCGAGTGTACCTCCAGTCTCGGCACTGAGACAGTATTAGCTCTGTTTTCCAAAGGGCAGATTAAGTCACAAAACTAGAATGAGTCTCATCCTGATGTGAGAGCCTAACTCTGATTAAGGCTTCATTTCTTGGATCTGAGCCCACTTTCAACCAGAGCCTCTGGACCAAGTACAATTAATGACTGTCCTTTATTGGGACCATTTCATGTACAGGTACAGACATGCACTTGTGCAGGCATGGACGTGTGTGTGCTGGCATGGACGTGTGCCGGCATGCACACATACCACATACACTGTATACTTACACAGGCTCACACACAGTAGTCCAGCTGTGTATGCATGTGAGATGCACAGTTTTACAGGAGCAGTTCATGGAACATTCTTATATGTATTTATTGACTCAAGGGGGTAGATAGCCAGAGCTGAGAAGGCAGATGGAATGTAGAGAGACAGAAACCCAATAACCAACACTGCCTCCATCACTCCACACAGGAAACACACCCCACCACTTCCATGCTGTCCTAGTTAAGGCTTTTCCCATGTGTCTTCAAGTGGGTGAACCCCAGAAAATGTGGCCACTAGGATCAAGGCTCATCCGCTCAGGTCATGCAATGAGGGGACCCCCAGTGCAATGAGAGCCCTCCCAGGTAGGAGGGGCTCACAGGTCCTCATCCCTGAAGACTGTCAGGTTGTTCTTCCGGATGTGATGCAGCAAGACCTGCCCCCGCCGTTCCAGGGTCTGCAGAACCTGCTTCAGCCCCTGGCCCCCACCTTGGCTTTCCCAGAACACCGGGTCCATCTGCAGGGACTTGAGCAGCATGTTCTGTAGACACCCTGACTCCAGAACCTTCACAGCAGACTCGGGAAACCTGGAGGGAAGTCCCCAGCCCCATAACAGAAAGTGAGGATAAAAGTGGTCTCAGTGCCCCAGTAAAAGCAAAGCCCATTGGCCAGCCTCAGCTCAGCACCCTGGTGACATCCGGGGCACATGCCTGCTGACCACTTAGCCGGAGACAGACCGAGACATTCCACCCCCTGCGCTGTGGAAGCAGGGATAGAGGTTTCAGACAGCCCCACCGCAGGAAGCCAGGTGAATCAGGAAGCCTGTGAAACCAGCCTGCAGCTGAGGAATGCCATAGAAAGGTCGACCGGTTCTTAACCGACCTACTCATGAATGTTACCTGTGTGCATCCTGCTACTTGGCTTGGCCATGCCAGGAAGAGCCTAGGCTGAGCTACCCACGAGAGAGCTCCCTGCCAGTGCCCTGAGCCCTCTCAGGGTAGCTGGTGTTCTGTGGGGCTGGGAGGCCCTCTGCAGTTGTGGGGGGGTGGGGCAGGGGAGGCATTTCAACTAGCTGTTGAGGGCCTGCTGGCAGTATCCCCTCTCAGCTTTCCCAGGGCACCTGGCCCCAGCCTGAAGCTCAGATTTGATAGTTTTGTCTGAGGTTTTGCCTGCTTAGGGCCCCTGGTTCCAGCTCCCCTGACACAGGCCACTGAGTCTCAGTCCCTGAACCTCCTCCCAACCCCTGACCCTTACCCATCTATGCCTTCCAGTAGCCGAAAGTTCAGCTTGTCCTCGGGGTGCTGCAGCCTCCCTGCATTATCGATGTAGACCAGGTGAGATGGATCGCTGCTCCGGACCTCCAGGAAGAAGAGGGCAGGGACAGGTGGGAAAGGGAGAAGCTTTGCGGGCCTCCGTGGATTCTGTTGGGGTTCAGGGGCATGGGGGGCCCTAAGCTGTCAGTTCCACCATCCACCCTGCTACTACCCTCCAAGGGCAACTGGCCAAGAGTGAGGCAGTGAGGACACTAAGTCTCTCTGGGGGAGATGACAGAGAAGCCCTCTGCAGGGGACACCTTACTCCTCACAGGAGACAGGCTGTTCTGCCACACAGCCCCTCTCTGATGGCCTCAGCATGTCGCTTCCACCAGGAACGTACCAGGAGGCTGATCAGCATCAGCTTTCAAGCCATCAGGGTCCTTAGTGTGAGCCTGTATCACCTACCACCCAGCCACGTGGCCCTGGAAAGCCCATGTCCCACTCCAGACAGAATTTCCTCATTTACTGGCAAAGATGACGACATTGACCAGACATAGCTCTTAAACTCTGCTTCCAGGAGCCCCAGGGGTTCACTGGAGTCTCAGGGGCAGGGATATCAGTGGAAACAGGACTGGGGGACCCCAGTATCATAGGATCCTTGAAACTTGCCAAGAGTATCATCTGGAGGAGACAGGAAACCCCGGATCTGGGGGGCCGGGGAACGTACCAGGATGTGTACCAGCCGCAGCTCGCCCGGGTTCCGGCACTTCTCTCGGAGCCTCTCTTCCACACAGGGGTCTGAGGGCTCTGGCTCAAAGCCACAGCAGTAGCGATCCAGGCGGTCGTGGACCTGCGGGGACACCCACCTTCCTCAGGCATGTGGCATGGAGCCGGCCTGCACCAGGGGGCATGCGCTGCATTCACAATGGTGCTCACGCTGGGCAGCTCGCCGTGCACACCTCAGGGCAGCGTGGACCCCCCCCACCCAATGCCCATTGCTTAATCCACCGCGCTGCTTCTGTACCCCGAGGCCATTGGGCCGCAATGTCAACCCTCTGTCTCCTGGGGAGTTGCACATAATTCCATTTTTCCTCTAAGCAGTAAATACAGCATCAGGGCCCCTCCCTTAATGGGCATCTGCACAGCTCTCGGGGGCAGCTTTCTCTGGGCAGTGGGCTGAGTCAGACCTGGGGAGAGCAGGCAATGCCTGAAGTGCCGATGCCTGAGGTGGGACTCCTCAAGGATGGGGTGCCGCACCCCTGACACGCACAGGTACACTCACACGACACTGAGTGGAACAGTGACTTGCCACATTCCCACCCTCGCTTCCAGTGGTCCTTTCAGAAGGAAGAGGCTGGCCTGCAGGTGAGGACGCCGTAGAAACACAGAACAGCTGTTCTTGGCCCCGACCTACTCATGGATGTTACCTGTGTGCATCCAAGACAAAGAGGCTGAGAAAGGAGGCCTAAAACCAGAGGCAGAGGAGTCTAGAGGTAGGCTGGGGACCCTGAGCAGCAGCTCCTCACTGTCAGATAACGGCTGGATTTTCCTTCTGCTCCCCACTTTAGCACTCATTGTCAACAACATCCAGCGTTGTCTCAGGAAGTAGCAGGCAACGCAAACCCTGCAGCCCCTTAAAGGTGACCCCATCACAACAAATTGGATCCCGATTTAGAAAGCCAGGTGGGTCTCCACTAGAGCGCTGGGGTCTTTCACCAGCGACCCCACATTCACACAGAAGGGGAGAAATGCCGTGGTCTCCTCCACAGTGAGGAAAGGCATTTGGGAAATTTTACATCCATTCCTGACAATAAAAATTAAACAAAGCAGGAATAATAACTGCATATCTTCAGTCAAAAACCAGCATGGCTTTTAATGGTGAAATGCTAGAAATTATCCCAAGTCTGTAAGAAACAAGTCGTGTCCATCACCCCATTACTATTTAATGGTGCTCTGGAAGCACCAGCAAATACAGTGAGATGAGTGAGAGAGAGAAGAGGCTGTGAGAGAGGTGCATTCGTTCAGATGAAATTATGGGGAATACCCAGTTGGATAAGCCAGGCAACTGTGAGAAGCAATAATGCCAGGTGAGCAGGTAGCTAGTAACCTATAACACAGAAGGAAAAGCCTTACTCAGACCGAAGCTACCAGCCAGAACACCTGACAGGAAGAAGGATCCCATTTTTAATGGCCACAGAAGGTGAAATATCCGGAATAACCCAGCTGAAGAAAGCAGCCAGATCTTTCTGGGGCATGAATAAATGGAAAGCCTATTCTAGGCTAGAATGACTATGTTTTTAAGATGTAAAGTTGTTCTACATTAGTCCACACAAATTTAACTTGATTCCAATACAATTCTGAAAGTATTTAGGAAAGAGAAATAACAAGTTGACTGCAAATTTCACATGAATAGAGCATATTTTTGCATGTTTGAAATCTAATATGCAAGACTATCAAATTCTAAAAAGAGCAATGAGAATGATCAACCTCTCTTAGTTATTAATATTGACTATAATGCACAATAATTCAAACAGTGTGATTCAGGCATATAAATAGACTCTTAACTGAAACAGGAAGGAGCCCAGAAATAGACCTACATACATATGGAAATTGGCTCTGTGGCAAAGACAGCAATTCAGATCGGGGGAAGACTAATTACTCAACAAATGGTGTTAGGACCGTTGGGTTGCCATCCAACAAAAAGAAGAAATCAGTGTTTTGTACCATATCCCTTTCTCTATGAAACTTCCAGATGGGTCAAAGATATTTGAAAACGCATGAGAATGTTTTAAATAACCTTCAAGTGAGGATGGCCTCTGAAAGGAACATACTCACCAAGAAGCCATAAAAGAAAAGCTTGATAATTTTTAACAGCACAGAATTCTTCTAAATTTCTGCACAACAAAAGGACTACTACTGAGTTTTAAAATAATCGAAACTGGCAGAGATATTGTCACAGTATAATGAAAACAAAGGGCAAATTTCTTTCACCTATCAAAAGCATAAAATCGTATGAAAACAGGCGAATAATCCAAGCAACAGATGAATAACCCAAGCACCCAGAGCTCCCGGGGTGTTTGAGCTTGGGCCCTCCCCAGCCTTACCCTTTTCTATTGCTACATAACAAGTGACCAAGAGTTTAGGGGCTGAAAAGAACACATGTATGATATCAGAGTTCCTTTGGGTCAGAAGGGCCCCTTCGCAGGGCCTCACCAGCGTGAACCCCAGGAGTCATCCAGGCCGCATCCCAGATGTAGTTCAGGCTCCTCGTAGAAGCTCCTCCAGGTTTGGGCAGAAACCAGTTCTTGTAGCTGTGGGACCAGGTGCTGGGAGTCCCTGGTCCACGTAGGGGCCTTCCCTTCTCATAGGTGGTGCAGAGCACGGCTGTTTACTTTCTTCCTCAGGCCAATGGGAGTTTCTCTCTTTGAAAGACTCGCCTGATTAAGTCAGGCCCACCCAGGTGTCTGACTCAGTTTGGTGGCGCACTTGGGTGGTTTCTATTCCCCATAAGAAGAGCTTGTCCCAGTAGGGCTGCTCAGCCTGGGCCTGAGCGTGAGAACTGAAGAGCAGCTCTGAAGCCACCCATAGCATGAAGCCACATCCAGTTGATCCCAGCTGCCCTTCAGACCCTGGTTCAAGAAATAAAGCTCAGGTGTTTTAAGCCATAGAGTTTGGGGCCAATTTGTTACATGCATTATTTCAGCAGTCACAAAAACTCTTCCATGGGACTTGTGAAACACAGGATTGGGGGCCTATGGGGGATGTAGGTGTGGTATACAATGTACCTGGGTAAATGGTCTGTTTTGGTCCCCAAACAGAAAAACAGGGCTTCTATTGGGTAAACCAATGCCAACCAGCAGGCAGACGGGGGAGGGCTGCATCTGGGGGAGGTGCTTCGCCTCCCAAGCAGAGTACCTGGAGTTCCTGTGCCAGGAAACCCACATTCTGAAGTCCTCCTCTCGCCAACTTGCCAGGGGTGGTTTCTAGGAAGGCGGCAGCAGCCAGCCAGGGGTGTTTGACTTGACCTGGGTCCAGCCAGCCAGGGAAGAGGTGGCACAAGGCCAGCCAAGTGGCATCTGACCACACACCCAGACGACGTGTGCTTTGGCTGCTGAGACTTCCATCCCCACGGCAGGGCTGGCAGCTGAGGGGGGCCCCACAGCACACCTCCGGGAGCAGCACAGAGGGGCTCTGTGTAGAGCAGAGGAGGTGCTGTCACGGAACGGGGCTCCATGAGGAGGTGCCTCCAGTTTCAGGGCCTGGGCAGCCCTGCAAGCGTCCCTTTGCCTCCCTCATTCATGGCCTGCAGAACAGTGGCTGTGACTCAGAGGGTGAGCTCCGAGTCACTCATCCAGGCTGCATCCCCGCTCCATCAGCCCCTGGCCTCCGCGGGTGACCCAGCTTGTCTGGGCCTCAATTTCTCAGCTTTAAACATGCCAACAATGTGGTATCTTGCTCACAAGGTCGCTGTGAGAACTGGTGAGTTGACTCCTATAAACGACTGGGGACAGCGTCTGTTCGCTGTTGAGTGTGTGCCACCCACCAAGCCCTCACTCAGCGCATGCACAGACCGGCTCACGTGCAGAAAGGGCGCAGATCGGCGTTATCATCTGCTGAAGACCCCCAGGGACAGGCCTCGAGACAAGGCTCCGAGCAAAAGCAGTTTGCCTGTGAACAAACTCCAGAAACACAAGCTGAGAGCAGAGATGACATGGGCAGCGGTGACCTCTGTGGGTAAGTCCAGTCCTGGCGGGGGACTCTGAGAGACACAAAGAACATGCACAATAGAGCTTCCTCCGCCAGGGTACTGCAGCCTTTCCACATCAGCTCCAGCTGTCACTGGGGGGAGGGGAGGGCATTATCAGCCTTCTGGGGGTGTCCAGGACTGTCCTGATCTCAGCACTGCAGATAGGGCTGGAACCCGCTCCATCCCAGCCTGGCTGGGCGGTCACACTGCCTGGATTCCAAATCCCTGCATGCAGCCTGACAGGCAGGCAGTGCCGGCTCTAGGGCCCAGGCAGGCCTGCAGAGAGGTGCTAGTGTTGGGAGTTACCACACACTGAAATGGTCAGGCCGAGGGGATGGCGCCAGGATGCTCCATGCCATTTTGGAGGCAAGAAAAGTGAATCTCAGAGAGACAAAGTAATCCACAGTGTCATACAAGGAAGTGGCCTGGGGAGAGGGGTCACACCCTACACCAAAGCCCACGCTGGCCACTGGGCTCCACGCTCCTCCGCCCACAAACCAGCCAAGAGACAGACTGGAAGGGGCTCGGGGCCCAGCTGCCCCCCACCCCCTACCAGGGAAACACCCACAGGCAGGTAAGAGTCAAGGGCTTGGGCGCTAGGGGTGTCAGGAAAAACGAGGGACCGAGGGTCCTCGGCTTGAAATCCAGGCTTAGTGGTAAACTGGTTTTAGGCCTTAAGGATGAGACAAAACCTGCCCACCTTTCCCTTGGAGACTGGCTTTCCCGGGCAGGGCAGGGCCTGGGCCTCACCAGCTAATGAGCCCACCTGAGCGAAGCAGAAGCGTCTCACCTCGGCTGGGCTCCCAGGTCAGCAGGAGCCACTCTAAGCACGGCAGTTGGGGCGCTGCCCAGAGGCAAGGCCCGTCCTCAGAAACACAAGCCCCGCTTACTAAAGAAGAGCCTCTTCATACCTCTCTGTGTCGGAAGAGCCCTGGGCCTGGCTCACACACTGCAGCCAAGTCCATGTTTCTTTGCTGAAAAACCCGTTTTTCAACAATAAGATTTACCCCCTCTGTTCTCAGCCCTGGTCCTCCAAACCTATATAACTTTGCTTCCTCCCTTATCCAGGGAAGCAGAGTAGAGTTTATCTTGCCTTGCAGTTGACCTGCCGCGATAAAGCTGATTTCTCAAAGACCTGATGGCACACCCTCAGTGCACCCTCCACCGCTGGGTAGCATGCCAGGCTCACCGCACCGTGCAGAAATGCAGGGAATGCTCCCCTGCAGCCCGCTGCTCCAAGCAGATGGATTTTTACCGGCCCCCTCCAAAGTATTGCATATTGTCTAAGAATTTTCTAAAGCGCGTTACACACCAGCCCTGTGTGAATCAGCTTCAGCTTTTCAGTCCCAAGCTGCCAGGCGTGGCCCCGTCTCTGGCTCATCCACCCACCCCAGTAGGTGAACCCAGTAGCTGTTGATTCTTCTCCTCAGTGGGGTCCCCACAGAGATGGCAGCTGGGTTGACATGCACAAACCCATCCGCTCTCGGCTTTATTGCTTCATTTTTCTGTCTTTCTGCCTTCCTGGCTGCACTTCCAGTGTGGTCTTTATGACTGATGTCATGTTCACAGGCACAGGAACAGCCACACTGGCTGTGACCAGGCCAGGTAGTAAACAGCTGGTGTGTGCAGCCCTCCAGTTAAACCCCTGTGCCCTGACAACAACTTCCCTAGTGTAAGGTACATGAAGATGGCCAGGCTGTTACCCCGCCAGCCTCTGGGGCTATCACCTGCAGCCTTGAATGCAGGAGGCGCTTGGGTGCGTGGGCTCGGGGCATCGTGCCTGACTGTGGACACCTGGAGTGCAGGGTAGGACATGTACGCAGGCATGCGTATGCCTGGAGACAGAGGACATAGGCAGCACCGCTCGGTGACACAAACAGCTACAGCAGAGGGGCTGTGAGAAGAGACCACAAGAGAATGCTAGGGAAAGCCCAGAGCAAAGTGCATAAATTGTCTCACAGCCAAGTTGCCATCTCCCCTCTGGCTTGTCTCCCCTGTGTACTATTAGAAAACCTGTGGGGATGATGCCAAGTGCGCCAAAGTTCCCTTGTAAGCTGCCTGAACTGACAGTGGAACTACCCGGCCTGGGATGGCCGCACAACACCTAGGACCCTCAGGAAGTTCAGGCCCCACTCCGGCACCAGAGCGACCTTAGCGGGCTCGTACTGGCGTCTGCTCATGCTTCAGCGCCCAGACTGGACAGGCATCATCCCTTTCACTCTCTTGCTCTCCCTCCCGCCCTTCCTCTCCCTCACTTTCCTTTTTAAACTATGAAGCCACCTTGACTACTTCTTGGTTCAAGGGTATAAATAGTGATGAGCTGGTAAATACTTAAAGACCAGCTCTCCTGGGAGCAGGAGACGGTCCCGGTGGGTAGAATGTGTTGATTGCCACAGTGTAAATCCTTCCGCTCTGGCCATTTCTAACTGGTGTGGAGCCAGCAAGAGGTGTGCAGATGTGGCTCATCACTGCACAGTATTTACTGTACATGTGCACATAGCTGCAGGAATGCAGGTAATAGAAAATGTAGCCAATAGCTAGGAAGCTCTGCGTTTTACTCTCACTTCTCATGTATCACGTGGTTGGTTTGTGCAACTTCATTTTTAATAATTGTTAAGGGGAAGGATGTCCTAAAGGAACTCTGCAGAGTTTTGTGGACTCCACCCCCTACTCCAGTGACTGGAAACTACAACTCCCAGCAGCACCAGGGAGAGAACTGCGAGGACCCAAGGCGGAGCTAGCAGGAATTCTGGGACTTTGGGGGATAAATAGGGAACCAGTTTCTACGGCCCTCTCTCTTGCTCGGGAAATGGCTCTCAGGACTGCGTCCGGGGGCTATCAGTTAGTTTGTTATTAGAGCTCCAAGTCAGCTGTGCCGGTAAGATATTCTAGTTACCTTGTGTCTCTCTCTCTTTCTCTGGGTTGTTCCCTTTTCCTTTTGTAAATAAACCCATTATCGACCCTTTATGCCTGCAGTACAACTGAACTTTAAGCGTGCAGGTGAGGCCCCACAGACAGGCAGCTCAGTTCACACTGGGGTGCCTGTGACATAATGATGGTTTCACAACCAGCCACAATATTCCTGAAAAGTTTAGTAATCAGCTAAACAAATACAGGTGCTTGGTGAAAAAAAAAAAAAAAAAAAAACCCAGCTGGGGAGGTGAGTCACCTTTTTCCCTCAGGACAATGGTTATGTGTTTCCATTCCCCCCACTCCTTACCTCTGCCGCCCACCACCCCCACCCCACCCAGCCACCCACCTGCAGCAGGAAGTCGAAGAGTGCCAGGCGAGCCCACTCCATGTGTTGGATGCCCAGGCACGGGGCCTGGCCTGGCCAGCCGCAGCCACTTGCCAGCAGGGCTTGGTACTGCAGCCAGCCCAGTGCCAGGGAGTTCTGGTCATCGTCCGGGTCACCCAGGTGCTGTACATCTGGCGCCCACCAGACCACAGGCCTCACGCCACCATCTGTGTAGCGATAGGGCAGCAGGGGGCTGTGGAAGCGCCGGGCCACAGCGGGAAGGCTCCGGCGGAGTCCCAGCACTCGGTCCACATGGAAGGACAGAACCTCGGGCAGGTCCCCAGGCCTCTTGATCAGGCCACAGAGCCCCTCAGTGCAGAGCTGGCTGAGCCCAGGAGTCGCGTCCTGAGGGGCGCCCTTGGTGGAAAAGCCCACCTGCAGCACCTGCCCATGGCCTGGGACCCTGGCTTTGCCCACCACCACGCCCTGGGCCAACAGCTGGAGGGCCTCCACATCAGGCTCCGTGAACCATGGGGGAACCTGCCCATGGGTCCTCGAGCCACCCGGCAGGACAGGGGGGAGAGTGTCACACCAGACAGATCCTTGCAGCTCTGCAACAGAGCCAGGCCATTGACGGGCCCCTGAGCTCAGAGCAGGATTCCCTGCTCGCAGCCCACCAGTCTGGGCTCCCTGCCCAGCTCCCAGCAGATCCTTGTCCTCTGCAGGATGTGGCCTCTGGGTGGCTGCAACAGGAGCGCTCCGGGTCCTGAAAGCTGCAGCATTGTGCCCTGTGAGGGGGCCCTCCAGGGGACCTGACTCACTCGCTGCCTCCTGGATGGGACCATCATGCCGAGGGGAGCCCAGTTCCTTGGCTCCTGGACCCTTCACCTTATCCTTCCTCGGGAGCCCGTGAGCTGGAGATGCCAAAATAATGTCTCTTCTGATCCGCCCTGGACGCTTGCTGTTCCTTGCCAGGGACTGCCTGTGGCCTTGCTCCTGACCACAGACCTGAGTGGAATTCCGGAGCAAAACCCAGCCTTGCCAGAGCCCAAGGTTTCTTGCCCGCTGCCTCCGGCTGGAGCTCAGAGCATCCCGGCTGTGGAGGGCAGGGTTCCCAGTTTCCACGTGTGGCTCCACGCGGTCAAGGTCGGGGCCAGTGGCTGCCTGCTGTGGGGAGAAGCGAGTGACAGCCACCATGGACAGAGTCATCAAGAGGCACAATGTCATCACCAACCGCTTCTTGCCACGCAGCTTTCTCTTGAGCCAAGACACCTGGGGGACAGGTTAGAAAAAAGAACTTGAGATCTGGGAAGATGTCAGGTCAACCTGTAAAACAGCAGGAAGGTGAATGAAAGGCCAGCTTGGAGCAGGAGCAGGCCAAAGAGCAGACGGGGGGGGGGGGGGGCGTCAACAGCGATCCGCCTTTAGGAGGGAGCGGGCAGCCACGCCAGCTGGGTCCCTGCTTCACAACTCGGCGCTTTGCCTGCCGGCAGCTATGGCTGATGTCCACAGACAGACTTGGGCTGCTGCCCCCGGAGAAAACCACCCCGGCGACGCAGCTGTCCCACACAAGTGCAGGCCCCTCTCTTTTCATCTCCATGTGCGTCTGTGTGCCCACTGTGGCAAAGCTCCAGTTTTCTCCCGAAATATGCCCTTCCCTTTTCCAACCAGCTGGTGACCTTGCCCAGCCGCCCTCACAGCCAGCCGGTGGCCCCTGGCCCGTCAGCCACTCCTGCCTGCCCTGCTTGCTTGAGAGCCCGCTGTCCTGGAACCCTCCAGCACACTGTGGGCAGAGCCCACTCTGCACATGCCAGCTGTGACTTCACACGTGGTCCCTGGGCCAGCAGCTTTCGCATCACCTGGAGACTTGTCAGAAATGCAAAGTCTCGGGCCCCACCCCAGAACTCTCAACCAGAAGCAAGGCCCAGCAGCCTGTGTTTGACCAGGCTCTCCAGGGGAGTCGGATGCTCAGCACTGTGGAATGACAAGGAAGGCGCCCGGGATCCCAGGTGGCTATACAGTGGCAGAGCTGCCTGGGGCCGCTACCCGGGCACCTGTGCTCACCATATGTGCATAGATGAGTACTATGAGGAAAACCCAAAACTATGAAGAGCATAAAGCAAAATGTGAATGTCTTTCTCCTCCCCATAGGCATGTGTTCTGGTATATTAGTTTCCTGTGGCTGCCATTGCAAATTCCCATGGACTTGCATAGTTTAAACAACAGACGTGTGTTCGACATGCTTCCTTGAGTCAAAACTCAAAAAGTGTGAGCAGTACCTCTGGTGTCGGCATTCCTTCTGGAGCCCCGGGGAGAGCTGCTGCTTGTCTCCTCCAGCTTCCGGGTGCTGGCACGCCTAGGCTGTGGCCGCCTCCCGCACCTGTGGTCACACTGCTGCACGCCTGTGTATGTCACACTCTCTGCCTGCCTGCCGCTAGTAGTTAGGAGCAGGTGATCCAGTGATTAGGATCCAGCGGATAGGACCGCTGGGTCATTCTGGATAAGCAACCCCCTCTCAAGATCTTTAACCTAGGCAGATGTGCAAAGACCCCTTATCCAAGTAAAGTAGTGTTCCCAGCGTCCACGGGCGAGGGTCTGGATAACTTCAAGGAAATCACATTTCCGTCACCACGCGTGGTAATTATATTTAGCATAGGAGATGCCCATCCCACAACTTGCTTTGGTTGATGTAACAGTCGGTTCTTTTTTCATACCTACGTGTATTATTTACCTATGTTAACTAGGTAACAGCTGTGTAGATGTTCATAGTAGCAACAGGAGGCTATTTAGACTGATTCCAATTTTTATTATAGCACACAAGCTGCAAGGAGCAGCCACGACATGCCGTTGTGGGGTACGTCATGAGGATTTTACAGAGAAGACACCGAGAGATGAAGGTATTAGATCCAGTCTTTCTTACAGGTATGACTCTCCAGCGTATATTGGTTATCAGCTCCTTTAATCCTCACATCAACACAGGGAGATGGAATTCAATTCTATTTTACTGATGAGGAGGCTGAAAGGTCCAGACTGCTAGCATTTCCCATCACAACTGGCAGGAATACCAATGTTTTAAGATAAAAAGAGAAATGGCATAGACAAGTCTGTTTGGCCTCCCCCGCCCCCACCTTTCTAAAAGAAAAACATGTTTTGAGTTGGATTCATGATCTGCATTCTCAAAGTTTTGGATGCCACTAGGGAAAAATAAATCATCACTTTAAAATGTTTCAAGAAAACAGACTGTTTTGGTCCTTCTCTCTCTCGGCCTTGGCATCAGGCAACCTGGGAAGTTGGCAATCGAGCAGCTGTGCAGAGAGAAAGGTTCAAAACAGCCTGAGCAGGCGTCCACACAGAACCACCAAACAGAGCTTCAGAGAATGGGAAGCATCTGTAATCAAACTGAAAAAACATCCTCCAAGTGAAAGCTGCATCTGAACATTGAGCACATTCAAGAAAGGGTGAGCCCTGCAGCAGGGCGCCATCACAGGCCTCCTCCAGCACACACTCACACACCATCTTTTCTGCCCTGCAATGGTCACATCAAGCAGAAAGGGAAATGGTGTGAACTTTGGGCCTGGTTCTAGTTCTCTTCCCTCCCCAGCTCTCACCCTTCCACCAAGACTCCTCCTTCATTCCTTGGAGAAGATGCCTCACACCCACACACCTCCTGAGGCAGGGCCTTTCGGGAGGACACAGCTGGGGCCTAGACTCCGTTTCTCTAACATCACAACATGTAGCAGTCACTAACAACCATTTTACTAAAATCTAGGCAATTCATAGATTTTCTTGTATTTACAAAGCTGCATTAAATTCCAGGATTTTAATTTGTTTACCATAGGCAGGTTATACAACCTCTCTGACCTACTCTGTCAGTTAAAAAATGCAGAATGAGATTTCCTGCCTCCAGCATTAGCACAGGGAAATTAATGAGTCAAATATGTCATGAGCCCAGTACATGATTTGATATGCTGAAATGAGTTCTGGGGTCAGTTTTCCTGCCCTACTTTCTGCACATCACCTCCCTTTCTGGGTTTTGAAGAATGTCCACCCTCTACTTGGATTTTGGCATAACAGTATGCCAGAATATAAAGCGAGTATCTGGAAGCACAACTCAAGGTGGGGGAGAAAGAGAAACACCTTTATCTTAAATACCAGGTGTAGGCAGGAGAGGCCCTGGGGCCGGTGGAAGGCCTTGTCCAGCCCAGGCGCCATCCAAAGCCATCCGGGTGGGGTCGGGAAGGAATTGCTTGAAGGGTGGTCTGAAGCAGAGAAGCGAAAGGGTGAGATCCAGGGGGAAGTACGTAGAGGAGCTAAAAGGAAAAGACAGATCTGACAAGCATGGACTCGGTTCCCTGGCAACTACGGGAAAGGAACCCACCTGCAGACAGGCTCCTGGCCACCGCCTGCAGGCAGCGTGGAAGAGAGTTCTTGAACAGGAAGTGAAGGCAGCGACTCGGAAGGAATTACTTGCTCATCGTTCTTCCTTCCTGCTCACCCTGCTGTGGTTCCACTGGTGGAGTACACCTCCCTGCCCACTGTCCTTGACCTTGGCCGTGTGACTTGCTTTTGCCAGTGGGATGTGAATGGACTTGACAGATAGCACATCCTCCTGGAGGTCTTTCAAGTGTGTCTGGGGCTTGACGAGCCTCCTTGCAAGCCTGTCCTCCATCAAGGGAGGACAGGCGAGGTAGCAGGTCCAGCCTACACACGCTGGCCGCCCAGGGCTGACCCTGGGCCAGCCTGCCCACAGCCCCGCAACCCAGAGAAAGGTGCAAGCTGGCACAAGCCTGCAAGAGTGTGAGGTCACCACACCAAACCCAACACATACAGATTCTTTGTCCATTTCTGGGCTCAGTGTGTGTCCATCAGATGAGACAGTTCAGCAGTGAGGTGTAGCACCCTGTCCTTGACTAGTAGGGGTGTAAGCTGTGTTTAAGATGGGGGCAGGCTGGTCAGGATGTACCCCAGGAACCCCATAAGATGCACTGGCCTGCTGTCCCATGGCAACCAGAGAGGGCTCCTGTGGGCGTTTGGGGACAGTGCAGCACAAGCTGTGGCCTTTTTTTTTTTTTTTTTT